GGGTTTTAGGATGTAGGGCTTAGGGCTTACAGGGTTTAGGGTTTGGGAAGTTGAACCAACCCTCCCAAACCTGGAACCCCAAAACCCGAAAGCCCAACCCTGAACCCTAAACCCTGAACAACAAACCCCTAAGCCCCAAAGCTGAAGGCGCCAAACCTGCCCAGTGCAACTTGGCATCTGCTGGGCGGCCAGGGTCTTATACTTCTTCTTGTCCGCCTCAACCTGGGACGGAGGAGCTTTCAATATTTGTCTGCGAGTGCTGCGGTTCTACAAGGCTTCGATACAGGGTCTATCAGGGTTCTAGAACGGTTCGGGTTGATAAGTTTGCGGCTTCAGAGATTGGGCATGGTCAACTTTCAAATCTCTCGAACTGAGATCAAAACCCTTCTAACTGGGCATGGCTTGCCCAGACAATTGAGATATCAGAAAACTCATGAGACATTAAAGAGCAACGTCGATCTGGCCGTGGAAACCCGTCGGCTGGGTTCTCGTTAACATTGCCAGGCGGCTGTCTTCTTCGCCTTTTCGATGAACTTGTCAACCTTGCTCTCAATATGTCCACGCCCCTTCACCACCTGCGGTGACGAGCAGCTGAAGCTGAGTTGATAAGCCGAATTCTGAGGCTTGTTGGCTGTTGCTGATCAGATTGCGGGTTGGTGAATGGGGTCGGGTCGTAAAACAGCAGGGAAGCTCTGACAACCCACCTGAAGAAGCTGCTCCTGAAGGGTGAGGGCCAGCTGCCAGTTCGGCGTCTGCGGCGTGCGCTTCGAAGTCCCCGACACGGCACCCTGGAACACCACGTTGAGGTCGGGATCCGCTCTCAGCATGTCCAGAACCTCCTCTTCAATCCTCAGGTGGATGTTGCCGTCTTCGGACTCGGCACTCATGATGTCGAAAACAGCCAAAGCAAAAAAATGTCCGACTCAGGTTGCCAAGAAGCAGAGCGTGGCTGCAACCTCCCAGGCTCATGCGTGCCTTGGCTCTATTCCGAAGCACTGTGAGAGCAGCGCGCCACCTGAGGGCCTGATCCAACGACTTGGTGCTGCTCGTGATCACGGTGAGGCTGGACCAGTAGATTTTCACCAACCAGCAACCCCGGCTTACAGAGATGCAATGGTCCACGGAGCGCTTGACCACTTCAGCCTCGCTTGACGAGACCGAGACCACCCTTTGTTCACGGAGCAGGGCCCGCAATTCGAGAAGGACAGCTGTGGGCAGTTCCGATGCGCAGACGCAGTCGCCGTTCACCTGGCAATCAAACACAGAGCACAGGGACGCTAAAAGAAACAGTTTCCGGGGAGCACAGGGAAGGGAAAATGTAAACAGAATATAGTGAATACAACATTTCCGAACCGATTTGTGCATAGTGCCATTCCAACATTAGCAACGAAGGAAACTATAGCCATGGGCTCCATCAACCATGTCAATTTCAGCGGCGCTGCCTGCATGCCGTGGAGCAGTGCGCGCGCCTCGCCCCGCGGTTCGCATGGCATTGGTGCATGTTCCGAGAAACGACCAGAACCTGTGGTTCAGACGTTACTGCATGTATGCAGCGTCATGTCTGGAAGTGCAGCAACACTATGGATTTCAAAACACGCAGGCTAGGACAAAAACGATGGCAAAAACCGTGACACTCCGATAGCCAGCCAGAACACATCAGTCGTCAAGATATGCATGATTCATAAAGAAGAAATGAGGACCCCACAAACGTGACAACTTGGAAAGCAAGTCGTAGAAATATCATGACAATAACCACTGCCACGAAATCAAAACAGCAAAATCAACAGTATTAGCCTTTCCACCGAAAAACAGTCCCACTTCTTGCGGCAAGTAACAAGTGGCGAAACCTACAACCACGACCAGACTCTCCGACAACAACCAGATGAGAGACACACAAGCTCTAGAGCCAAGACAATCTTGGGCCCTCTAGGGAACTGCCGAGAGTATGCTCAGCATCTTCACAACAACTCCTGGCATCTGGTAGTAACAGGCATCAGTCATTCCCACAGCAAAAGAGCACAACCCCGTCAGTGCTCATACTACGCCAAAGCCGACAGACGCAAGCAAATCCAACAAAAAGATCAACTTGTTTCGCTGGAGGGGTCGAATCCAAGCTGGGCAGTGGATCTTCGCCTAGTCTAGTGAAACGACTTAGGACTGTTATCGTTGCATCTGCTCCAATTGAACTGCTGAGCGGCCGCTCAGTCCCACAGCCTCATCGTGCTTCCGCCGTCGGTCGGGGTCGGAAAGAATTTCGAAGGCCTTGCACACGGCGAGCCTAGATGAACTTAGTGGTCTAGCCACTCGTCGAGATCCTTTTAGCCTTGTCCTCCTTCACATGCGTCATCTTGTTGGAAACAAAGGTCGAGGGATTTAAGCTTTAGGGTTTAGGTTGCGCTCGAGTGCCGCTGGCAGTGTTGACCATAATCAGTGATGCCACCATGTCTTATCTTTAGGACTGCTGTGGGTCGTGCTTCTCCAACTTCCAGCCGTGATGATGTTCATGATACACAAGGTCATTATTCAGGTTCTTGGTGCGCCAATGCTTCAGACATGCCCTCTTCATCACTGTGAGAAAACCGAACAGCAAGCCCAACACCTTGATCATACCAGGCCAAGTGAAACCCTGCAGAAACCCTGAGTGCAACACCCGCCCCGCGCGAAGGCCTGCGTGATGCGCCAGGAGGCCTCCGTTGCCGCGTGCAGTTCGCTTGCATCTGGCTGGCGGCCCAACCTTGAGGCCAGGGCCTAAACTCCTATATGGGGTTTAGGGTTTTAGGGTT